AGCACCACCTGCTCCTTATTCTGGTACTCCACAAGAATATCTCAACAAGATATTATGTGCAAAAATACTCCATATATACAAATAATACAATGGTTAGACGAGTGAAAAATATTTTCTTAAGAACACCGAGATCAAATTTTTGAAAAAAAATTGTTTTGAAGAATCCTCACTATTTTAAAAGGAAAAACATCCCTTGCTGTGATCTTGAATCTGATAAGTCTTTTCATGGAAATTATTTTAAAAACTTTCAGTAATTACTTTGGAAACATCTTCAGTACTGTCCTCAAAAATGCTGATCTTACACCTGGTCTTTTTAATTTCAATTATTCCAATTATATATTCTAATTATATTTTATACTTTACTAATTAAAAGCACTTAGAATTCTTTCTGTGGAAAAAAAAATGATAGCACATCAGCATTACATACAACTTTTGTGGACAAGAAGCTAAGAATTCCCTAACTACTGGAGGCAAGCAACAAATCCTGGGAGGAATTTGGACACTCTGCTGGCTTAAACCTACTGCACTGGTTTGTAATGACGAATTAAGAGATTCTTCCTTTTAGCCTACTGGTTTTAGGAACTGATTGTATGGCTGTAATAGACAATGGGGACTGCTTGATACCAAGCACTGTTGAGCCCACAGACCCTGACTATGATATGCTGAAAACTCTGAAATAAGCAAAAGTGTTTCTTTGTGCATCATACTTCTTATTGCATTACAGTTGAGACATTTCTTATCTTTCCCTGGGCTTTGCCTTAGTTTCCCTACCTAAGCTTCTAACTGCACTGCAAAAGAGAATTGCTGGCCATATACCTGAGCTTGACCAAACTGTTTGGCAGAGGACTGATAGCGGGAATCAAAGGATAAAAAGCAAGTTATCCCTTCCCATCATCCTTTGCCTGATCAGAGACTGAATCAATCCTCAAATTTACTTTACTGAAAACTAAGAACTGATGCAAGTTGTATTGGCTGGAGATCACCACAGCACATAATTTCACTATCCTTACCCCTCTCCCACCCAAACGTTCTCCATGTTATGGTCAAGCTAAGAAGGGATGACACAAAGACACAATGTCAGTCTTGTGTCACATTACATTGCTTTGGGTTTCCAACCTCACCTATTCTGTAAGGGCAGTTTTTACCTCCTTGCACAAACTAAGCACCACCAAAGTAAGAATCAGAACTCATCTTCAGATTCATTTTAATGGAAACTATACTGTATACAGTGGAAACTACTGCTATAATGCAAGTTTGTGAGGAGGAAGAGAATAGAAGACAAAAGCCAACACAAGATTGAAAATTAAGATAAGTATATTAGCTTAGATTAACACCTCTTTTCTCCAGTCGTGCAAGAGTGTGGTAGACAGTACACAAACTGAGTTGAGGTTGTAGAAAGGATCAAGGTCGCAAGCAGTAGTTAGCATTGCAGTTTTGGGTATGTGCTTCACACAGATGTGAAACCACAGAAGACAATACTGAAGGCCCTTAAAATTATGGCACTGAAACCTCAAGTTAATAAAAAAATTCTTTCTTCAAGGGCTGTAATAGAAGGCAACAACTTTCAATCCAGCACATGTTCCCTTATGACAAGGACAACTCCATTGTTTAAAACACCACTAAACTAGAAACTCTATGCATCTAGGTAGCTCTATCCACACACAGAGTTATTTAATACTAAAGTTTCAGAAGTTGTTTTATGTTACAGTTTATAACAGACAGCTGTGGACTGCAAAATTATATAGAGTGTACTAAGGTAGAAAACAGCTAATCAAGTGAAAATGGGCCTTTATTGACAATATTTTGCTTAACTAAATTTTCCTCTGTGCTTTTACTAAAAACCAAAAAGAGTAAAGCCTAGTTTGCTGAAGACAGTATAGAGGTTTCTTTTCCTGAAGAATCTTGCAAGGAAAGTTTTACAAGTTGGGAATTCTTTGGCAGTTCTGATGATTTTGGCTTTACCTGAATAATCACAGTAAAACACTGAGAACCAGGAAAATGATACTTCTGTGGTAAATATGTATTTGTATGTGCAATTAAATAAGAAACTGACTTAACAGATCAAAAGATTAAATTTCTCATATCTCTTCGTACCCCCTCCAGCTACCAACCCACTCCTCCTGCCAGCAGACAGTACAAAGTGAATACCACTGAAATCTGTGCTTTTAATAGGCAAATAGACTATTACCATTCTGGCTACTCGTTTGAAGCTATCCAGCTTCTACCTGGAAAATTCATCTAGACTGTCTCCTGCCACAAGCAGGAAAAAAACAATAGCTAAGCAAAGAGATAGCTGGAGAATACAGCATCAGTCAGTCCTGATTACTGCAACAGTTCTCAAGAATTCCCAGTTTTCAAAACAGTGCAAAAATTTCCATACCCTCTTTTTAATCCAAATACTCTTTATTCAAATACCAAACCCAATATTATCAAATGAACCGGCTTAGTTTTCTTCTGAAATGCAGACATCAAAACCACTGGAGAACCACAGAAAGGCAAAATTTTACTTACTTGAGAAAATGCAAATTATAGCCAAATAAATAATAACAAGGTACAATGAGCTGTATACCTGAAATTCAATATTTATAAAGCTAGGGGAACTGTGAAAACAGATCAGAAGCCTCTAACATGAAAAGCCTTTAAGGATAAAAACAAAGTGAAGATTAATTTCTTCCCCCTCTTCATAGGGATCTAGCATATTTGCCTTCTGCATTCCAGAGCTTAGCATAGCTTTGCAGCTGTACAAATAATCTTTTTCTGTTCTTTTATCAGACATTCCAATTTCCTTATTTGTTCTGTATTATTATGTCAGGTAGCAGCAGAGATAATGATGCTTCATCCTTTGACCATGAAAGGTAGAAAAGAGTAATTCACTTACCTGGGAAAATAGAAAGGACAGCCAACTGTAATTAAATGCAACCAATCAGGCCTAATTAAGGCAGATGAGACCAAACTGGAGTATGCTCTTTTACTATCAAGTTTAGATGAACAGCTATACAAGAAACAAATAAGGCCTACTCCTGTGAGGTTTGTCAGCTAACATTTCATCTAACACTCTTCAATATGCTGTGGATTAAGAAGAGAAGGATTGCTCTAAGGCATCCGAGCTGTAAGTTTGTAAATCCATTTAAGCATATGATTCTTAAAGCACATTTATAGAAGATAAAAAGATTAAAGAATCACCTAAAATCTGTTGCAAACTTATGCTTTACTTTTACTTAGCTATGTCAGCACATCACAGACAAAATTAAGAACTCCACTGTACAATGTAAGATGGTCTTTCCTCAAAAGTTTACAATTTATATAGATGAGATGGAAAAAGCATGAGATAAAGAAAGATAATCTCTACTTGATAACATGAAAATGAAGCACCAGTCCAAGTTCACGAGGAAATAAACTAATTTAACTAAAAACTGAAACTAGATTTCTTGAACTATCCTTTCTTTGTGACATTGGTACATTTCAGGTTTACTAGCCACATTAGGAGACAACAGCTTCTGGAAAACTGACATAAAAATGGGATATAAGTGAACATACTCTAAATCTCTGCAGAATTAACAGCAATACTCACTCTGAAGACAGACCTCAAAGTAAAGAACTCAAACTACATATTAACTAGTGGTCTTCTGCCAATATTGTATGTGTTACTGCTCCAGATCTACTTACTGTTAGAGATTCAAACAAACAGATAAGAAAAGTGAAGCTCAAAGGAAGAGTACTTTATCCCAGGATATATCTAGAGCTCAACAAAAGCTTAAGCAAGCACACAATCTCACCTTCTGTAAGAACCTGAGCATCCAAAAATCACTGTAATAAGGTTTGGCTGTATCTTCTAGCTATAGGACTAAGGCCTGTAATGTAGTTTTTATATTCACTGCGTAAAAGTATTCAACATGCATGACACACAGCACCCCATTTAAGCAGCACGTGCATTCTGTGTTGAAGCAGTCTAGGTACAATTTCAAGAAATGGAAGGAAAAAAAAGGGGAAAAAACCCAGTTCTTAAGGAATTGAGTGCTGCTACAATTTTATCATTTTACAATAATAGTTTTCACTAGATGCTTATGTTCTCTGCTCCCTTGGTTCACTGAAACAAACTTAAAATGAAAAGCAAGACATAGGGTAAAATGTTCTTCTCTCCAATGGTCAAAAAATTCAACCTAATAGATAGAGAAAGTTAGCCAGCATCACATGGCAACTCATTTTTCCTCTCAAGTTATTGCTTATAATTGCACTGCTCCAAACAGCAAGGGGTGCAGAACATTATTTCATATAAGGTGATTATTGTCATATCACTTTAAAATATCATTTGTTAACTAATGATAACTGAAAATCTGAATTTTTTTCATAGCTTCTTAAAATATAATAAAGAATAACCACATTTGTTTTGCTATCCAATAAATACACTTGGACATTTAAAGGCATAATCATTTGACCCCATTGGAAAGTCCACGGTAAAAAGTTTCTATATAATCACAGTCATGCTGGAAGATATGAAATAAAACAGTGTCAATACTTGTGTTGCTTTATTTACAGTTTATTTCCAGAGCCCTTTCAAATGAGCACATTGCTGTCTTGCAGGATTATAACATCGTGTATTAAGCAAAAGCTGATAACATTTGGAGCTATAGCAAACTTATGCTTAATACAAATGCCAAAATGAATAAAGAAAAAATGATGGGCAAGTTGGTGGAAAAAGCTGTAAGATAAGACAATTTTTTAATTAAAAAAAATTGCATACCAGAAAATGTTAATGAGCCGAAAGTCCCTTGAGTTCACTTTTACACATTCTGCACTATTTTGTTGCTCCTGCTAAAGAAAACTGAACTGTTCTCACTCAGAACTGAAGACATTCTTTTTTCAGTGTCACAGCAAAATCTAGAAGTATCTTATTCATCATGTTACTTTACTCACTTACTTCAAGCCACTCAGAGTTATCAAACTAGAAGTAGAGTAGACAAAATGATCACAAGTCACTAAGTAAAAAATTACAACAATACCTTGAACTTCTTCATAAATGTCATCTGTTGGTCCACCATTCACTTGTTCCACATCATCATATTCCTCTTCTTCCTCAGGAATTGTATTAGATTCTGTATCTATGTAACAGCAGTTTAAAAAGTTAACGTTTATTAGAAAAGAATGCCTCGGCAGAAATTTATGCAAAATGAAAACACAGTTCTTCTCTGACCTGCTCCTTACAGTACATTCTGCTTATTTTATTACATTGTTCAAGGGATAAGGGAGAGTTTACCTAAGGGATCTTGTATAAGGGAGAGCTTTCAAGCTAAATAGTATTCTTGGAAAAAGCAAAAATCTTGCAAAAATAGAAAAGCTACAACACAACTGAAAACTAGGACTTGCTATTCAAAACTTGGACATGTGGGAATACTAGATGCACTAACATGACAGATAAGTTAATGGACAGAACTACCATCACTAAGCAGTACTGGCAATAAAGGCTATTGCTCTACTGGCTGGCTTACCTTGAATTACAAATTTGACTTCCTCTACCCATTCCTCTGCTTCTTCGGGACTGGCAGCTGCAAACTATTAAATGTTTATTAATAACTACTAGCAGCAATGACAAAAACAAAACTACAATTTCATTAGCAATAAAAAAGAGGGACTGTAACATTCTCGTCACTTCCTCAAGAAACCATTAGTAATTCTTTTCATGTCTTCTGGTACTTTTCTTGCAAGGATGCTTCTTATAATGTACAGCTAATTTTGACAAATTTACGTAATTGAAGGAGAGGATGATGGATTTGAAACTCTGATCAGCAGCTGGCAGCTGTGCAGAAAAAAGCTGCTTCTCTTCATCAATGTCAAAGCCAGAACTGATGAACAAAATTTGCCCTTGACAATTAGAAGACACCCATGAATTTCTTTAGACTGCTGGGTACAGTTTTCTTAAAAATGTTCTTGTCAGACTCCAACACACTACCTGACAGCTTAATTAACTGGCTTTCAACCACAATCTCAGATATTTAAAACTTATTAAACTTACATTCCATATTGATGTCTAGCTGATAGATCTCTGAATTGCGCAGCTGATATGTGCCTTTACGCAGATTTTCCTTTAAAAGCCGTGACCAATACGATACATATTTAACACTGATACATATTTTAACTTTTTTTTACTATTTAATTCACCAAAGAAATCACAAAGACACACTATACAATAGATATTAAAATGCTAATATTGAAGTGACCAATAGATAAAGATGATAGATTTCCTTGCTTTCAACCAAATAGATAATATTTGAACACATACATACATACTTTTAATCAGATTTTTTTATATATGAATATACAATATAAGCAAGTGAGAGTTTCCTTTTTTCATTAAGATGTCAGTGAAAGTTGTTTTACTGAAATGTTAATTCAGTAACTGGAATTGTAACAGCTTTATCAATTTAATTTAAAGTCAACATAAAAAATTCCAACCTGATAAGTGCGCTTATCAGGAGCGGAGATTTCAAAACAGCAATCTTTCTTTGCATCCTTCCGAAGGCTATTATTCATTCTGATGGTGTAGCCCTCTAAGGCAAATTCACCTTTCTGTTGTTTGTCTGTTGGAGATAAAAAACAAAGTTAGAGCTTCATTTACAACAGTGAACCTAAGTGGCTCAGCAGGTTATCGTTTATTCAGATTTTGGTTTCTATTTCATAAATTTTACAAAGAACAGGGAGGTTTTTAGCAAAATGATTAAGTGATGCTTCTGGAGATAAAGCTTTCTTTTAAAGGAAGATGTACACAGAAGTACATTTTTCTGTAGGATGCCTAAGGAATTCCAGAGGGGCATGTTTGCAGATGGTGGTCTTATTTAGCAAGAAGTGCATGTTATGACACTTGTATCTAGGGAAAGCCAAGAACTGGAACTTGCAAGACACGTTTTCTATAAATCAGTGTCTCAGGTTCAGTAAACCAATGGGAAAACCTGTCTAGTTCAGAACTTGCTGAGCTCCCTCCTAAACTAACCACTTCACTCAAAAAATAAACGTCAAACTCCTTTTTAAGCAATTGGAAAAGCTTCTTTTCACATTCTCCCACCCACCCCCAGATGTGCCTCCTTTCCACAAGGCAGAAATACCAAATGAATTTCGTTATAAATTCAGGTGTGTGCGTGTGTGTTCGTTCCAAAAGCATTTCTCTCAAAACAACAACTGTTTAATAAGCTAATAAAAGTACTGAGCCCTACCACAGTTTATTATGTAGAGCCATGTGGTTGTTTTAAAGACAATTCTACTTTTCAAAAGTTCTGGTTTATAAAAGTATCACTTACAACAGACCCGAGTTTAAATATACTGCATGTTGGGTAAGCGGCACCTGTGCACTCCTTTTGAGCTCTTCAGACCAAACTCTACATTGGATTTTATGTGCTCTGGCATATTTTGGTGAATATTAAAAGCAAACGAAAAATGTAGAAGTAATTAAGTTTTGCAATTTCTGCAGGTCGCAGTGCAGCATCCGAGTGAAGATAGACATCATGAGTGACATTTTGTGCAGACAAACAAAGAACAAAGTGCAGTTGTATATGCAAAAAATGCCATTCAGTGTGGGGTTTTTCTTGCACAGTAGAGAAAAGGATTCATTAACAGTAAGCATCAGGCACAACAGCAAGACTGCTTTAAGTAGTTGCACTTAGGTACAAATTGAGCTTATGCATTGCTTATGCATGTCAACAAAAGGAGAAAACTTCTACAGTAGATAAACCAGGAAAAACTACAGTTTTCAATGTAACTTTGTCATATTTCTGGAAATTTAACAGGAAAGCAAGTCTTTTTCCACTCCTGAGAGGACAAAAATTAGCTAACACGGCAACATGAACACCAATGGATGTAAGGGCAGTCACCAGTCAAATACTCTTGCTAGTAATCATACATGCGCAAAGACACAAATTCTTTGTCCTTCCACTTTTTTATAAACTCTCACCTAGGGCAAGTAAATACCAAATAACACAATTATATGAGAAAATCCAGGGCACTGCTCTATTTTCACTTCTAATCCATTCCCCCACTCTAAGTTTTATTATGCCTTAAATAAGTATTAATGCTACAATACCAATATTTTATATTTGCTCAGTCCTCCACCCCTATATCAAACAGCCCACACATGCAAAATTCATGGAATCATGCCAGGGCAGATATTAGAAATAATAATATTGCAATAGGTTAACTAGGTCTCCTTTTAATGAAATTCATTTCTGCCTAGGAATTTTATTGTTCCCCCACTTGTGACCTCAGGGAGAAGATGAATTGCACATTAATTTTTCACTCTCCCATGCTGGAGGTTTATCAAAACTCAAGAAGATAGGAACACGCAGACAGAATAAACAAACACCAGGTCCAGAAGGTAAAAACATTTTGTCAAGATAAAAATGATGCAAGTATTCAAATTTAGTCTCTTGGATTATTTCTGAGACTGCTTCTCTGTGACATGGATGATCCCTTTTATGGTAATATACTTCTACAGAGCTAATCTCAGATGATCTCTGCACTGGCACTCGTTTTTTTTCAAAGAGCATTGCGGTTAAAACACAAAGATGCTGTACTTTGGAAGGAGATGGTGCAAGGTATCCATATTCCATTTGATTGTTTTGCTGTTTATACTGGTTTTGTCTTATTTCTCTGAACATGCCATTTCAGTCCTAATTAAAATTACCTGTATGCACCATCAAATAAATAAATATATATATGTATATATATCCTTTGCTATCAAATTCTTTCACTGACCTTTAAGACTAGTCAAAGCATTGCTACTTTTACTTCTAATTGTCTTAACAGTAACCTCTGATTAAAGTCCAGTGTAGCATCATGCATACAAAACATTGAAAATGAGGAAACTCTAAGACAATGAGACACTTCACAGCCCTGACCCAAACCCCATTAAAGTTGACAGAAAGACTCTCAGTATGTATTCATACTCCCTGTGGCAGCAAGCCAGAGATAAGACCTGGTATGTCCTGAGAAATAGCTCCACAAATACAGAGTGGCAGGACACAGGTCAGCTGTAGCTAAGCTGCATGCTCAGATGCTGACAAACAATGGAGGTCTACAAATCCCAGTTGCTTTTGCAGAATACACTTTCTAGGTAGGACTGGAGACCAACCCCATCACCTGATCACCATGGAACAAACCATTACCCACGGGAGCTGTTTGGCCAGTCACAGCAGTCAGGTGCAGCCTTAAAGGCAGGGCCATCTTGGGGTCATCAGACTCAACAATCATCTCACCTTCATTTATAGCAATGGCTTGCAGCTACATAGGCATGCAGACAGACTTGGGCTTTAGGGTTAAAGTTGCCCTGTGAAGTTAGTGCCACAGGTGCTGCTGAAAGTTTTGAGAACTTTCACATGCAGAGTTAAATTGTTTATATCAGAAATATTTTCTGGAGACTTTGCTTTAGGGAGAGTTAAACAGTTTTTGATGCTTAAAAACTTTGAAGAATTAAAGGTTTTACTTGGAGGCTTAAAATTAGATATAGTTGTGGTTTATGGCAGGAGCCTTAAAAGGAGCTTCAAGAAGCACATCTACATTACAGGGATTTAACTTTCATTCTGAACCCCCAAATCAGAACCAGAGTTTTGCTTATGCAGTAATACAACAGCATATTTAGGAGGAACTATGGAGACACATGCTGATGGAACACACTTCTCTGAAGAATGGTAACATTTTTGCTGCCTCTTACTTTCTCAAAATAGGGCTTTGCAATTCAAAAACAGGAAACCCTTAAGTTGTCCCAGAACAACATAGAACAGAAGTGCAAAAAGTATAATAATATCAGTCTTGTAAAAACAAAAAGTAGCATGAACATCATCAAGCATAAGTTATTTCACAATGAAGCCAAATCTCATATCAGAATAAGATGTTCTTTGCTCTCTCCTCCCCATCCTCCTCCTCTCCCCTTTTTCCCATGTCAGGCACACAACAGAAAAATAAATCTGGGTCTGTGTAGATCATTTTGCAATGGGAATTTAGAATCATAAAAAGGTAGCATAGCAGAGTGTCAGGCACTAACTATTAAAAAAAGACTAGCATGTAGATATTTGAAGGAAATAAATTTGGAGGGGCTGTATTTAAAATAGAGAAAATTCAGATCCCAATGAAATTTGAGAGCCACTTTAAATATTTTTCTTACATATAAACTTAATTCATCCTAAAAATAGTTAAGTGTTGTTAACAATGGAAACAGGGCCAATATTATATTGGGAAAAGAGAGTCTCAAGGGAAGCAGAGAAAAAGGGTTTTGAAGTAACCTTACATAACTAAGTCCATGGGAACTTTTAAAACAAAGAAGGGTAAACCTTCAATGAGATCTTGAAATGATTGGGTTGTAAATTTGAGGCCTAAGGCGATGTGCCCATATTATTAGCACATGTAAAAAGAATTAGTGCATTCTGAAGAACAGAGAGGACTCGGATAGTAGAAAGGAAAGAAATTAGAGAGAAAGGCATAAGGAACAAAGGCAAACAGATTTCAGAGAGTGATAAAGTATTTATAGATACTATTAGAATCTATAATTTAACTCTCTTCATCTTGAAATTAGGAGCCTGTAAGATCTTACAGTTTACATGGCTTCATGCTAAATGTAGTTTCACATACTTTTCCATATGCAGGATGTCTGCTTTCTAAAAATAGTAAAGTGTCAGTATCTCCAAAATGGTAATTCCTTTTCCAGCTTTTGGAACAGCCCTTTCCAAATGCATGCATAGAAGGTCTTCCCTTTTAGACAGAAAATCTGAAATGCAATCAACTTTTTTTTCCTTCTTCTTTCTCTTAACAAATCCACTGAGAAATTTAAATTTTAAAAAGCTTAGGAAATTGAGGCAATGATTGAAACACACTATTTAGGGTACCAAATTTCTTATATTCTGTTTGCTTGTACTCAGTTATTTTTTAAATAGCACACTATTAATGGTGAGCGTGCCTCTTGAGATCTGAATTTAACAGTCTCGTAGCAGAAAATCCAGTACACATTAGACAGATGCCTTTGATTGCCATCACCTTGCTACAACAAAGTCCTGTGGAGCGTGCACAGTTCCCTCTTCTGCATAAATAGAAGTAGTCTACCACTGGCCTGGCCATCACTATCTTACAGATGAATACAAAAGAGAAATACACATAAATACAGAGAAATACAAAATTTTGATGTCCATGTTAAAAGTAGAGGAAATTTTTAAAAAATAAACTCAGACCTTTCTAAAAGGCTCTGAATTATACCCCTCTTCAACATCATATTACTGGCAGGCAGGCGGACACGATTTTCAAGTTATAAAAATGAAAATAAATTTTTAGTGCCCATTAACGGGGAAAAATTACCATGATGTTATCAATTACTGTCTTGCTAAACATTTAGCTGATCCCTCCAGTTTGCTGAGACAGAAGGGCATATAACATTGTGGCCTAGTGAGGAAGAAGTAATGAAGCTATTAATTCATTCATTTATAAAGCAACAAATTAACTTTTCTTCTTCACATGCACTTTGAGGTCTGAAAGGTTATCCATACCATCTAGGTGTCTGAGCACACAAGAACAGCCAGAGATCATACAGAAAGACAATAGGCAATCAGGGTACTCAACTCAGGGTGCAACTGCATGGAAGAAAAGAAGAGAGGACTAGGAAAGGTTTGTGGAAAGAAAGACTATGAAAAGGAGGACCAGGCAAGCTTCTGGAAATCCCAGCCAGCTCTGACATTTGAGCACACTCCTCTGCGATGTCATGGGCCACATGCTGGTAACAGATACTGCAGCACAAGCACAAATACATGCACACTTCCTGAAATACGTACTTCAGACATGATTACATTAAACCTTTAAGTCTTGTTCCTCCATCTACTCCACATACCATTGATCGGGGGGAAAAAACATAGGTGATTCACTTAGACCCATCTATATTGTAGAGAAAAATAGAATGGTTTCACTATGCAATGCTGCACCCAGTGTAGGAGAAAACAGGGAAATAAGATATACACCAGCCCGCAGGCATCACAGCTCTTAAAGGATGCTTGTAGTCTCTTAGGTGAACACACACATGCACACAAAAACACAGCCATTTACTGTATTTTCACAGGCTTTAGCTTGTACTGTATTCGCCTGGACTAGGCCTCATACTTTTCATCATTCAGCTTGGAGTAAATGATCCTGAAACTCTTCCTTACATGTATTGTGAGCTTTATATACTTCTACATTTCTGCTTGCTTTCCCAATGTAAAAAGGGAAAAGTTAGAAGAATTAAAAGTGTTTTGGAAACAACAGATTTACACAAACAATAAAAAGGCATCCAAGCCCTCACATTTCCCATTCAGTTACATTTCCACTGACACTTAAGCATGAAAATCAAACTTTGGCCAACAAAATACACACTATACCAGGCACAAAACAGCCTACTCAGATTATTTTCCTACATGTCTGGTTTTAAAAACATACACAATGCAAAACAAGCCAAGATGAACCTAAAAATCCCTGCAGCCTCTGTATTACATCCCACAACACACAGGCACTAGCTGGACTGAGCACGTATGGAATCCCCATTACTCTTCAAACCATGTTCACATCAATGAGGGGGAATTTTCCTGTTGTGTGAATGAGCCCTGGAACCTGTCAGCAACCAGGGACCAGCTGACACAAAATCTCCACAGGCATTGCAGAGGCTAGGGCAGACCAGCACTGTTTAGACAGATGCCATCCCAGATGGTGGCAGCAGTTTGCACCAAGCCACCCAAACGCACACTTCCACGCTATTCTACAGTTGGTAAGAGCACACACTGATTTTCTACATAGTCCAAGTTATCTGGTATTGCATCAAGAGTCACAGTAAAAGAAGAAGGGCCTCAACACAACAGCGTAGTATGGCAGGAACCGCTGCTGGAGGTTATAGTGCAAGTGAAACCAGTTTCAGGTTCTTCCAGTGACTAAATGCCAGATCTCCTCAGGGCTATCTCTTTGCACACCCTATCCATGCTGGCAATCTGCAGCAAAACAGCATGATAAACTGCAGCACATACATTCACAACCGATAGGATGACAGTTGAGTTTCAACAGCAAACTGACTTGCTGTGGCAGGTATCCTTTTTCTGCACAACGATGGCGATTTGCTTCTGCACTGGAACAGGCACCTTTATATACTATGGTATCATGGTGCTGAAGAAAGTAATTGTGACCAGTCTAGAAAAAAACTTTCTTATTCAAAGGCAAGTTCTGGAGTGATTTAGTCATCCCAGATCTGTAAGATTCAATCGTTACACCATGCTGCACCAGTTTTTCTGCACTAACAGCACCAGTCACATAGAGGTAGGGCAGAAATTCGTGCATCTGATTTGTTTGCTTCCCCCATGAATGAGTTTGGAGTCCAATCATGTCTCTATAAACTACCTGAAATGAGGGTAAATGAGGTGGGGGTCAACCTCTTTTCCCAAGTAAGAAGTGATAGGACAAGAGGAAATGGCCTCAAGTTGCACCAGGGAAGGTTTAGATTGGATATTAGGAAAAAAGCCTTCACTAAAAGGGTTGGCAAGTATTGGAACAGGCTGCCCAGGGAAGTCCTGGAGGTATTAAAAAGATGTTTAAATGTGGCACTTAGGGACATGGTTTAGTGGTGGGCTTGGCAGTGCTGGGTTAACAGTTGGACTCAATGATCTTAGAGGTCTTTTCCCACCAAAGTGATTCTATATAATTCCATGGACTATGTGCCTCTCCCACATCATTAGATTATGGTTAGGAGGACCTTCCCCAAACAATCTGCAGCCTACAAAAGCTGTAAATGCATAAGCCAAAACATCTGTCTACAGATTTGTAGAGGAAAGAGATCCCACAGAATATCACAGTCAATTCCTAACATGACACCAACCTTCTGACTGCTAGGGAACATGCGTCCACGTATCCAAGCGTCTTAGCTGTCAGCACAGGTATTAAAAGTTGCAACACAGAGTTGGATTAAAAAAAACTAATAATAAAAAAATATGGAAAAAGGGCAGGTGGGATTTTTAAATCTGGAACAGTCTTCATGAACTAGCAATATATTCAGAAAAAAAGAACTACTGCCATTTTTAAAGTACTAGGTAATGTATTACTATACATATAAACAAACAGCACAAGATAATTCTCCAGAGAATAAAAATAAATCAGTACTGACAAATTTTTGAATAAAAATTGTTCGTGTTTTTGAAGCTTGATCAATCTGTAAATTCCAAGGAAAGAGTAAAGAATAAAAGGGAAATTCAGCAGATATGCTAACAAAACTCTGAAAGCAGAATACAACAGGAAACGGTAGTAAAATGAAATCTGGACTTAAAATTAGACTCTTACTTAATTTCTTTTGCTTTTAAAGAAAAGATGAGTTTAAATGAATCAGCATACTAAGGAATGAAACAGACTGGAGCAAATTAAATTAGTCTTTGAATAAAAATACACAAAATAACTACCTGCACTAATCTCAAGTAGCATCATACAAACATAAGTAGAAGGAAATAAAACCCTTCAATGGAAAATTTGCTCAGGAATATATTTTTCGGAGGGAAAAAAAAGACATAATTGTACTTTTAAAATTTACTGAGATATATTTCTGTATCAGTTGTTCTACTGTTAAACATCAAATGCATGTGGCACACAATGTAAAGTATGTTTTATTTGGCTGTCAGTTTTAAAAATTCAAAGTGATATCCCCACATTTATGCTAGATTCTTTATAAACTGGCCATTAAAAAGTAAAAGTCACCTTCAGGAGTTAGCTTTAGTTTCCATGGCTGGCTTTTAGTTAAATACATTACTTCATTTCTACCTTCTCCAGAACATAAACTATTTGGATAGAAACAAGGAAATCCACTATGCAGCTTTTAGACTAATATTTTCCTGGACAGAGCCATCTCTAAAGAACTCAGAAGGTATAATTACTAAAGGATGTTTTAAAATTAATATCCTATTTGGAGAGAAAAAACATTTTCTGTCCAGTAAAACAGCTGAGTACCGGCAAACTATCAAACCTAAGAGCTAGATGTTACTGGCACACAAAGTAGCTTTACAAGTAACAATCTTTTTTTCCTCAGTTTCCCTTTTTTTAGAGAACAAGTACATCACTTACAGGTTCTGAAGAATATTTCCACATTTTAAAAATTCACAGCAGTGTTTAAGAACCGTTCAAAAGAAAAGAACTTTTATTTTAAAAGTTTCATTTGATTGCTTAAAATGAGCTCTGATATGTGGTTTCCAACTCCACTGAAGTTTTCATATTCTTTTGTGCACTGAAACATCATTTTTATAGTAATTATTGGAAGTACCTTTGTCGCTTCCGTAGTAATAGAAGACCGTCTTACTGATAACACACCAACGCTTCTGCCATTCAAAGCCAAGAAAGCTGTGGTCTGAAATTAATATAATTTGTGCTGTATCAGTTTATGTCATTATTGAACACAAATATGTTACTTCTTTTCAAGGGTGAGGGAAGAGGGAGGAGGAGCCAGGGAAGACACTAAGGAAAGAAAACACAATCTGGATATGAAGAAGAGAAATGTATGGCACCAAGAAGGAAATTAGAAATAAAAATTGGTAGTAAGAAAAACAAATGGGAATTTGAAATCATATAAAGAGAGAACTCATGTGTAACATTAACTATAAGGAAATAATGAACAACTTCCTAAATATTTCCTAGAGTTATTGCAGCATTAAGTGGGTATTAAAGTGACAATATAAGATTTATTGAATCAAGGTAAATATTGACTGAACCAAAGCTGAGATCAATATTTGCCCTCTTGAAGGAAAATAAATCTTGATGCTCACTGAAACATGAAGTCAACATATGGTACTTTTACATATGTTCCTAATGTTGTCTTCAAAAATCTCTGAAAGTCTCTGAATTATGGCTGACAGTGGACTCTCATGGCCTGATTTTGTTAGTCAATAAAGGAATAGGATTTTATTTAATACTATGAGAGCAATTATGTGCTGTGCTTCTTTTGCATACTAATGCTTCAACATTTCAGCATCTACTTCATTTTATTTATCACTTCTGTATAAAGTTATTCATGTCTACAGCAGCAAACACAGACATATAGACTTCCCAGACATAAAATATGCACTGGCTTTCACAAAAATAGCTAGACTTACCTTTTCTACGTTTTTCCAGATATCCAGCCTTCAGAACAAACTGAAGATCCTGAGCCGCAACAGGAGGAAACTGATTCCCTGAAAGAAAAATAAATTCTATAAAGCACTGCTGTACAAGAAATTAATGCAAGAGTAGCATTAATAAAATTATGGATTTCACACACTCAATATGCAGAATCTACTGGAAAATAATAATTCTAATAACAACTATGCCAGATTATTTTAAGTAAAAAAAGCCCTCTATTAATGTCAGAGCTGTTGCTACCATCCTCACCGCTTTAGTAAGGTAAAACATGGCTGTGTAGAGCCCTGCAAGTCTCAGAAGGAAAAATATGTACACAAGATATGGCAATTTTGTTTTGAACATGGGCTGTAAAGCAAGTTGGATAACGAAAGCACTAAGGCTTCAGATGTGCAAACAAAATCAAGAATTACAGTTCAACACAAATCAGAAATGTGGTTTTCAATATCAGCTTCGTACAAAAATATCTTGAAACAACATACAAGGTGAGGACCCTCTATTGCACATCTACAAAACATTAACTAGATCCAGAGATCCTAAAAGATGATGCCTGGTGTTGACAGATATTGCCTAGTTTGCAATATGACACAGATCTACTGCCTACAGGATCTTAAAGGTGATACTGGGTAAAACCAAGGACATTGTACAGAAGTCAGCAAAACTGTTGATCTACAGACACTAATTCTAGACTTTGTAGAATATGGCTGCATCTGCAAAATGGCAAGTATGGTTCACTGTATTTTTTCCTTTTTCTCAACTGCTAATTCATAGCTAGAAGCGTAAGACTGCCAGTTGACCCTGCCTCAATTTAAAATAAAAATCTGATTGCCAAAAATTGTCTTCCATTCTACATACTTTCCCTCCTAAAACAAGAGAATATGATTTAACTGGAACTCCTAGTATTAAGAACAGGAATATGTTAGATGTGTCTAATATTTAACATGCATATAAATATCATGCTGCTTATCCCAAGCAACAAATGGGAACAGAAGTCATTCCTGTGCTTCTGGGGTGTTTTAAGTGCATGTGAGCAACACAGTGAAGTTCCTACTACTTATTATCATCAAATATTCAGAAGAGTTACTGTAGGTAGGAGGCAAGTTTACAAGGTAGCAATTACTCATCCAAATATATGTAATCTAATTACATTCTATCAATGTAAACATACAGAAAAGGACTGATATGAGCAGACAACCCCAATGCTATTAACATCACTTTAAACTAGGCAGCTTGGGTTAAAGATCAATTGTCTGACCTTGAATCATGAACAGTCTCTGGAAGGTGATGTCAATTTCCTGTGTATTTAGGTTGTTCCTTAAAACAGATTTTTTTTAAAAATCAGTATCCACAAATGAATTGCTTTATGGCGATCTCATTTAAATACAGTTGTGACAGGAAAAAGACAAGAAAAAGAGATAGCAACATGCACAGAATACTACTTTTTAAAGTATGAAAATGAGAAGGCATTCCTTAAATAATACAACTGGCTCTTTGGACAGCAAAATACTTTGTTGGGTACCTTAAGGCAGTAGATATAGCTTTATATACATTGATATTTCCACTCATTTTCTTTATTAATATTGCTTTTAAAGATTAGGAGTACGTTAACTTCTATTTCAGCTTCTATGGAATTCTTAGTGTTGTGTTATAAATACAAGAGCTGTGGAGTCCATATAGATGCACTGTAAAATGTTTCAGCTGTCCCCCCTTGCTCAATAATATGCAATCACTGCCTAACATTAAATGAGAATTTAACATGAAGACACTTGCTGGCTGGTGCGTAAGTTTAATAGTTACTTGGAAAGATGATCTAATGATGGTATTATTAGTGGGGGAGGTGAAGAGGTGAAGAGTTTTACAAATATACATTGTGTGCTGCTTTATGTTGGTCATTGGGAGGCATCAGTGTGCAACACTTAAAGCTTTACCTCATCTGGTAGGGCTCATTTGAGAACAGTGCAACCCCCGGATGTGGAAGACATAAAATATAATTAAACAAACAAACAAAAGCCATTCACTCTTAAATTTTATAATCTAAGAATTTCAACCACTACTTGGATCTCATTTTATCCAATAATGTTTGTATCAGTTTGGGTTTTGATGACAAAGCTTGGACAGTGAACAAGCAAATCAAATGGGACTCCTTAATGTTATTCTGTCATCTGAACTGACTATTTCAGAATGCCAAAAATCTACTCTCAGTTTTGCTACTTCTGCTGAGACAAGTCAGGATAAATTTGATTATGGCATTTTCTGAAACTACATTTATTGTGATTTATACATTATATTTGGCACTGAAAGCTTGTGAGGAAAGGAACATGTGTGGGGGAAAAAAAGGCAGTCTGGCACTGTTCTGGTGCCACTGCAGAAACAAGTCCTCCTCTCACCCTCAACCTGTAGAGAAGCCAGTATCTTTTTCTGTTCCTCAAATCAACTGAGGCTGTAATTCCACAAAATAAGCTGCAGCTGGTCAGCCCCGCTGCCACTCACAATCTGTAAGTAGCTGAAGCAGAAACAGAGCACATGCATATTATTATCCTTCTGTCAGAGAAGCCTGGGAACCAAAAAATATGACAGAACTTGAGTGGAAGGGCAGGAGAAACAGATCCAGTTGTAATATCCCAAGACACGTACAGCTGTACGTGAAAGAAGAAGCATAAATCTGGTTAAATTACTTCTTTCATTGCCCTGTACCTCCAGAAGGAAGGGGAGGGAGAATAACTAGTAGGAAAAGTATAAAGAAAAGGAAAAGAGCCACCTCTCCTCCCAGAGTCTCATGAACCGCAGGTGTTGCACATATGTAGCAGGAAGAAGGCACAAACAGATACACATACCCTTGCCCCTCTACAGCAACAAAAACAATGTGGGGAAGAGAGAAGAGAGAATGACATCTTCCTTACAGTTACTGCCTGGAGTAGGCATGAGCAACACCTAACCTGTGCAATTGTTCTACCTTTCTTTCATTTTTTTTTTTCATTCCTTTACTGTCTTGTCCACATCTCAAACAGGATTTAGAGTGAGCTGCAAGCGCTAGATGTGGGAAGTCGCAGCTAAAGTATGGAATTTGTGTAGCAGGTTATTTTTTGCAGTTACTTTCAATCCAAATGTTGCTTCCCCATTCATTTGAAATAGATCAGCCTTGAGAGAAATCTCATTAAAAAGTATCACTAAAGCAGTGCTTTGTTAGTGTAAAGCAGCATTTGTTTACATTACACCAGCAGCTGGAATCAGAGACTCATTAGTTGACTGCTGCATGGGACTTTGAATAAGACAGCTCCTTCTATAAAGAATTTAAGATGAAGAAATACTGCCAAGAAAGAAGGCATTACTGTCTTGGTTTTTTTTAAATAAAGAACTGTGAAGCAAATTAAACAAAATGCTTTGAATCATATACTCCGTTAAAGTTCAGAGCTCTGAATTTCCCATGTTATACTCCCATTTACATCTCAGGATGTCTTTATGCCAAGGAAAATTTTACCCTTTTCTAATGGAGGCAGGTGAAATGGCCTGAATTACACTTTTCTGTAATTCCACAGGAGATTGTCCACTATCAGAAATGAAATGTAGAGATGCAAGGAGCTTGCGTCCTGGGGATGGCAAGATAGCACCTACCGGTAACTACCTTTCTTGAGTGTCTCACTATTGCTGAGAAACTTACGGTCAAGCTGATCACCAGAGCAGAGCAAAATTTATCTCCCAAAATCAAACCAGAGGAGATCACCATGTCTTCCTATCTACTTCCTACCCCTGTATGGTCTGTTCCCAGATACGACTCAAAGATTTAGTAATAAAGATGTTAAAAGACTCATCATATTCCCTGGTTTCTCCTTTGGTACTCTGTAGTTTCTGAAGCAAATTTTAAATACCTAAGAGAAAAGTGGCACTGTGAGTCTAGAAGTCCTCTGTGGATTGCAGCTGTGTGAGTTTACAGGTGGAGAAAGGTACAACCATTGCTTTTGTGTACTCTTCCACACCAAATTTCTGCTGTGTCATTGCCCTGGGAGTGGTGAGCAACCAGAGAATTGGGATACAAAAAAGGTGTCCTTTCCATTTCCAAGTTTCTACCTCACAAATAATGTCTTGAATCTTATTCTTTTGAACATTTGGGGAGATTATTATCTTGCATCTCCAATACTCAGTATAAAATAAGGGAGGTCCATATGCTTAACATTAAATGTTTTCCTTCATTCTTGACCACCCACTCACAGAAGAATCGCCTATAATAATTTCTCTTCCTATCCTGGTGGGAATTACTCCAATGTACTCCAAACTAAAATCTGCAAATTATGCTCTGCATGCATATTCCCAGACCGATGTGTACAAAAGCCATCAAAGACCAGATCAAAATATTTATAAGACCTAAACCTTCAGTTTTAGAGAAAAGTAAATTATACGTATAATGCACTGGGCTCTTCCTCTTGGTTCTAGACACACTTGTGCCAAGTGAGCAGCTGGCAGTTACTACAATACTATTGCTGCCAGGCTAAAAATTCCTCCAGTGAAAAGAAAGTGAAACGGTCTCACAAAGCATAAAGCCAGCTTTTCTACCAGCCATGCCTTGACTTCAGAAAAACATGAATGTTATTAACATAGCTGTATTAATGAACAGGTTCCACTGCACAAATCCCACAAACACAGAGTATCTTGTGACTTCAGGTAGACCTCAGACTACAGTTATGGCACGACTACAGTTTTTGCAATTTGGCAAGCAAACAGTCAAAAGCCTGAATGATGCAATTTTGCACTCTACCGCAACAGTGAATTTGATCCATTACTTAAAAACAGTTTCATCAGTGTCACTTCACAGCATGAAATTGAATCATTGTGCCTGGAATTTTGATTTTTGGAGAACCCACATTTCATTCAGTATACAAAGTAAATAAAACCAAACCAAGTTCTGTTAGTCGGCACTGTTTACCAATAGGAATATTTTGTTACTTCTTCAATGTGGGCTAAGGGATACATAAAGCAAGAAATAATTAGAGGTCAACGCATTCTAAAGAGGTGCTTAGCATGCTTATGGGAAGTTAAACAGGCAAAGTGGAGATAAGTGTAA